GTATTCCACCTAACCACAAACCGAACACTACAAATACGCATTTTTGCTTGCATATTTTCGCACACGATCATCTTGAGAATAGACTCAACACGGGCGCTTAGAACAAAGTTGATCCTATGCGAGAGGGCCTGATTGACGTCACACCTCCAAATATGGAATAATACGATAGGAATGCAAGTGACTGTTATCTCAGCAATTCCATTGATCGTTTTCAGTCCCGCCTACCTGCACCAGTTGAACATTGACATTGACAGTTCAAAGGGCACTTTGAAAGCAGAATCAAATGAACTATTAATGATGAATTATATGAATAGGAAACTTCTCGTGGACTGAAGAAATTCCCAAAACTGATGAACAATGATTTGGTGGAGAGTATAAAAATACTATAAGAATAACTCTAAATAGCAACGCCGAGAAGGGGGTCCAGAGAAAGCTCACTTTGGACGATTACGATCGCTCTTTTAGTAAAATCCAAATAGGCCCTATTCCACATCGCATACCACCCGCGGTAGCCCACTCTATTAGACTGCGTGTGCTAAAGAGACTAGGTAGGCCCTCATCACTTCGCCAGTTCCCCCTCCCCCACCGGCAATTGCGCGTCCGGGGGTGGGCGAGGGGTACTTAGTCCGCTCTTGAGGCCCTGTGCGTGACTGGACTTCAACAACAGTCAATTACGGTACCGTACTGTATCTGAAGAAATGGACGGAACTCATCAGTTCATAAAGATGCTGTCGAAAACTTATAAATTCGAATGGTCATGGCATGGCATCGTGACTAAAAATGTAAGGCGTGTGTGATTTACAATTTTCGAATTTTAGGGGAAAGCCGGCCCGCCTTCCCCACTCCCTCTCCCCCTCTCCCCCCCCCATTAAATTTTTCAAAACTATTTTTTAAAATGGAGAGAATAAAGGAAATTTATATTAAAAGTTTATGAGTTCCATTTCCGGCCATGAAAGCTGCCCTAATCATAAATTTTCTTCTAGAACCTCCATCGGCGAAAGTCCGTCCCTGGGCCCGGCCCCGTCTATTTCGAATTCCTAGATCCGCCACTCCGAGTTAGTAGGCCTACATTGATTGCTCTGGATAGGCCTATTCACTCCTAAGACATGGAGAAATGGCAGGACTTTTTCGTTAGGCCCATATTGCATTTGATGTTGCACAGTTTTGCGGAATTTTTCGGGATTTTCTGAAAATGTAGACAATTTGTGCTGCGCAAGAGAATTCTTGCGCAGTTTCGAAGAAACAGCTAGCTCAAATGCGTCTTCCTTTCATCAATGCTTGTTTCATTCTATTTGAAGGATAAACACTAGGATATAGATAGGCCTATTTTCCGCTTGCACACCAGCTAATATACGATGCCTTTCCTCCTCCATCGGTTGCTGCTGCTCTTGCTTACTCTCTCATTCTTCCATTTACTTATAGTTAGACCATGAGAGGTAGACCTATCACGTCATTCCCACAGTCACGCCTGTAGCCATTCCGTGACTATGTTTGCCTTCCTCGCTTTTTCATGTCAAGTGCATGTTTGTGTCATGCTTACGTTATATTTTATGGTCGTCTTCAAAAATGATAATCCATTACATTTTGAATTATGATTTAATACCTTAATTATATCACTGATTCTTTGTTATTTGCCATTATCTGTTTATTTTCTACTCTACCATATCCTCTCATAATGTTTCCTTGTCATTCCGTTAAATGCGTCAATTTTGCTTCATCAGATTTTCAACAATTACATGCTTCATAACCATAGAAAAGTACTGACTTTGTCAGCGTTTTTATAAGCTTTATCATTTTTTTTTTTTAACATTAAAGGAATCCTGTATGAAATACAATTTAATGTGTTGCAATGTTCCTCCTGACTATCACTGCAAAGGTATGAGAATATTTCTACTTCTACAGGAGAAAGCAAAATAGGCCTAATTTTGAATTGATATGAAAGAAAGTAATAAGGACTATCTTCTCGTATTTCCCCTCCAAATATTAAAAATTCCTTTCTAAAAATATTGGATTGACGCGCGAGGAACATCGGGAAGTACTTTTTGAGGCCTACTTACTTTTTTTTAACCGCCAGTCTCGGAGTTGTGCCGAAATCATCTGTAACTGCCTTAGTGATTGGCTGTTTGGCGCTACTGCTCGAACAGGTAGCCTCTCATAAACAGAGCCTCACCTCGTCACGTGATCGTATACTTCCGCACATCAAACAGCTAGGCTGTACTCAGCAGCCCAACCCACTTTAAGTTGTGTGTGTATTGGGCCAGCCATAGTTACATTGTGAATTAATACGCAATACTTCTAACGGTGTCTAGTAAGCTATCTATTTTTCAAGCTGAAAATTTTGTAATTTTATCATTGCGTATACATTTGTTTACGTGTTGATTCGGGTGAAACCTGTTATAAATATTTCGTATACATTGAACTATTTACGACGCGTACTTGGCTAGCCTAGCGGAGTTGAGTAAATCAAATACTTTGGGTATTTCTCCAGCACACACACGGTCCACAGGCGGCGTAAAAGAATTATATTATTGACTAGATTGTAAAACAGTCGTGATCTATCATGGAAAATATCAAAAAGAAGATTGCCAGCCTAAGGTCAGAAAACGAAGGACTGCAAGAAAAAGCGGATGAATTATCACGACTGCTAACAGAGCAAACACAAAAAACAGAAGAGGTAAATATGTGATATGGTGGCCATGTATGTCTGATGTCGAGTGTATAGTTTCTGCTCAGTCAGTCAGGTCACTGAGACGGCCGGTAGCGTCGCCAGTCTGACCGGCGTTTAATCGTTTGTATTCTTCATTTTAAATTTTTCAATAATTTAGTGTCCGTTTGCTAGTGTAGTACAGTAATAGTATGGCCTAGCCTAGGCCTATTATGTGATGATGGCACAGAAACGAAAGGATGGCCACCTGTTTGCAGTTCGTGGTGGCTGTGACATCGCTTAGCCTATATGGCATTATTATGCTGCTGCTAGGCCTAGGCTAGGTCAAGGCCTTAGGGCTAGTGCTGGGGGGGGGGGGAAGTGGCCGGGGGGGGGGGGGGGGGGAAGTGGCCGCCTGGCTAGGTAAGGCTACAAACACTGAGTAGGCCATGCACAATACATTCATGCCTGTGCAAGGCTTTAATCTCCCTAGAATTTTTGTAATGTCCCTATTTCAATTTGAACATTCCAAATAAATCAGCATATAAATAAGCCTACTCTTTCTTTCTAGTATATGCCTAGGGAATAGGGAGCTCTCGATCGCACAACGACGGTAGAACGTAATGACGTCACTAAAAGTCATCTGCGCATGTGAGAACGTTAAGGTCACCTCGTCGAGTAGATTCTGGAATGCAATTTGGCCAAACCTACGTATGCAGAGAACGTAGGACGCCAGGTGGAACGGTCACGCATGAGTGATTCCGTTCTAACGTCGCATCGTCGCACAAATCAAAAGCTCCCTAATATTTGCTCTTGCCTGCATCATTCATATGTCATGGACTAGGCCCTAGTTCACGACCTGTAGTAGAAGAATACATGTTGACATTTATGCCAACAAACAGTTTTTTGTGTCTTGGCCCATTTTTCCCATCTAACACTCAGCATTTGCTTCAACTTGTTGGAATGTCAGTACTACAGTAAGGTAAACCTACTGATGTTGTCTGTCATTGACATTACGGTAAAATATAGATGTCTTATTGCCAATTTTCAGTTGATATTGTTTAGAATGTTGATGCTTTACTGATTTCACTGACTGTTTTATGCATTTTTCTTCTTTGCCAATGGCCTATGTTTTGATTCCCAACTGATTGTTGTCATTCACATTTTTAATTTGTTAATCGCGAGTACAATTTTAGATTCACATCTGAAGTATACACTCATGTTATTACTATTAAGCATAGTTCTCAGTGTTCTCCTTAGCATCATGGGCAAGTGTCTTGGTAAGTGTTGAAGTCCACCATAGTTGTTACTGACATAAGGGGTTTTTTTTAATAAATTAGGAGACATTGAAATGCATCATGGAATATGTTCCAAGCATCATGGCCAACTGTCAAGCATCATGGGGAAAGTCTTAAGCATCATGGTACCATGATGCTTCAAGGGCCTGTGGAGAACACTGGTTGTATTATAAAGTAGACCTACAACTGGACTAAACCAAGGCTAGACCTTAAGCCTATATATTTTTTGCAAAGACGAGCTAACCAATGTTTGAAACAGATAGACTATGATACCATGCAGTCTTTCATACTTGGGATAAGCTCCAGCCCTATGGGCCCTAGTGGCTCGACAAGGATTTACTTACCTTGCAGTCTAGACCTAGGCCTGATTTTAGTAAAATATTTAGTAGTAGGCCCTAGCCTAGGCCTGTTCTTTATCTTGATTCTAATACCGGTGGTTAAAATATTTGAATTAATATCATTATCAGTACAATACACCCTACTACTACTACTACTACTACTACTACTACTACTAGATTTTACAGAGTATGGCAAACTAAATTAATGAAGCAAATGCTGTACTTAATGATGAAAATGAGAGCACAGTTTAATATTTGCAACATTTTCAAGCATGGGTTAACTTGTCTTTGAAAATCATCGACAGATTTGGGAGGATTTACGTCTATATTCATATTACATGTAATAGTAACTCCTGAAATTCCAGAACTTAACTTGCAGCAACTTTGTGATGGAAGGTCAAACTACTCAACTGTAACTCAGATTACCTACAGTAGGCTATTTAATATTTTGTTCTAAATTCGGAGCACATTAAGGTCAGATCCACAGAGAAAGGAATTTGGGTGCTAAATCTTAGAGGGTATTATTATCCAACAAGGAAATATTGAAGTTAAGTTGAAGATATTTGTTTCTACTTGGCCGAATAATATAGGAACAGATTAAACTGATGAAACACAATTGACATCTCATTGGTTTTTTATTACTGGGTTGAACACATTAAAAATTGCCCTGTAATGAACGCTCTTTTGTTTTACAGAGTTTTGTATAAGTCACTCATTGGAGATGAGGTGTTGTTATGACAATGCATCCTCTGTCTTTTTTATTTGGGCATTTCCCTCTCCTAATACTGGTTTAAAATTGCTGATGAACTTTATCACAGAGTAGCCAGTATGAGTAGGCTACATAAGTATACAGTATTTACCACAATAGTGAGTGCAAGACATCTTGGACAACTTGTGGTATAGCATGTAGACAATAGAGGAAGAAGAAAGGATTTTAAATACCACATTGTATGAATTTAACACATTTTGGATTAACAACAATAATATAGTAGGAGGCTTATTTAAGATAAAATATATTAAAGCAAGTGACACACCTCTTTGACCAACATGCTTAGCTAGCTAGCTTGATATTATCAATAAAGCAAACTTATGTGATTTTGATTGTAAAATGTGGTGGCCTGACTTGTGGTATGGCCTCAGACACTTAATTAAGGAAGGGGGAAAGGATTATAGATAGTACATTGTCTGATAATTGGTTCCTTGTGGTGAATCTCCTAAGGGGCTGTCTGAAGTGTAGGATTTGTACCTTAAGCCAGTGGTCCCAGTGGCCTATGGTTTAAAGGTCATGAACTTGACGTGCTAACCATCTTGCACTATTTGGAAATGTTGGCAAATAATTTCTTTTCCCTTGGATCACTAAAATCTACTTTGCACTAAAATATATTTTGTTGCTTTATGTTTGCTTATATTACAAAGAATTGTGGATAAGATTCAATTATATTTGAGAACTTAAAGTTGCCAAATACTGTACCATCATGATGAATTTAGACATTTAAGGTTCTTTGTATTATAACTTTAATTAAAACTATCATCACCCCAACATTCATTCAAGGGAATTTTAGTTTATCTTCATAAAAACTTGTTTTTTGTGGAACAAATTAATATTGGTTTTTCCAGTAATGTGATTAACCTGTTATTGAAGTACGTTGGTATAGTACTATTAATTGTTAAATTGTATATAATTTTTTTTTACAGCTGAAAATACAAGCTAGTCACTACTAATCTAAGTCAATACAAATAATTTCTAAATTTTGATTTTGACAACATTCCACAAGGAAAAGTTGTGTCCCGTGGGTCTATGGCACTGTAGGATAGGAGATGACATTTTAAAATAGATGTTTATATAATTTGCTGATAATTCAACACTAATTGGAAGTACTGCACTTCCTGTATAGGCTGTTAATATGCACTGTAATGTCTGGCCTTGGAAAACAAGGGCTTGCCTTAAGATGAGGTCAAGTTAACACTGGTGCCATGTATAATATTAAATACTCATCTGCTCTGGTAATAAGAGGTCAATATGAAAAAGAAAAAAGAAAACTATAATATAGCTAATAACTTTATATGTAGGGCCCAAATAAGACCAGGCTTTCAATGGGATTGATAAGAACCACTTACAATAAGAAGCAAGGTGTGAAAGCAGGGTGTTTTGTCAAACAATAACAGTGAATGACCAGCTAACTCCTGTTGTACTGGAAGGAAGTGTGAAAAATGTAATTATTCCAGACTAAAGGTTATAGGTAGGCCTACCCTAATTTTCCAACTCCAATCTGAAAGGCAATCCATTAGCATTATACAGCAAATAAAAATACAACATTCAACAAAAATAGAAACAAATGAATGTGTAATCTGTATTATTAAGTACATTGTTGGTGAAATTAAGTTTTGTTTATTTGACCTATCACAACTTATCAATGTTGCTATAACAATGAAACTACTTGCGCTTTAAAGTAGACGCAGGGCTCCCGGAACGCCGCCCTCAGCGGCGAGTGCGAAGCACAAATCAGGGTCAAAAGTAGAACGTGAAATTTGGATATGGTTTTGTAGTCAGATTTGCGAGAAAAACTTCAGCTACCCGTATTTCTCGTCTGAGACGTCAGTGGGAGCTGTAATTTGTATGGCAAGGAGATTGAGCAACCCTTCATTCATATTAAGGGAATTTACGCCCAGAAACTTTGTAGTTATTAATATTTTGGTTATAATAGAAGATATTCATTTTTTGGTGACGTCACACTCACATTAGTTAGCATTCATACGTCATAAGCTAGATACGTCACCTTTTCCTGGTAAGGCAAACTTTCCCGGCGTGCTTTTATGGATAAACAAACACCACTGCTTTGCACATGGATGCCTTTGCCCAAGCCAGGGCTACTTAAGAGCCGCATTGTTAGCATTGTATAATACTAAAATAAGGTACCTCTGCAAATGAATTATTCTTAGTTATTTTTTTTTCTTATTTTAATTTATTTCTTCCGAAAATGTACTTTCTATCACATATAATTCCACTGTCTTAGTTAGGCCTAGGCCTAGTCTTATGCCTCATCGTCCCCCGCTACACAGTACATCAGCAGCCCATCCCCCATACAGTACAGACGTTTGCTAGGTAACAACGTGATTGCACCTTCCTTCCCAGGTGTTTATGTAACATTGACATAATTGTTAGCTAACCAGTTATGTGTATTTCTTTGTGAAAATGAGTACCACGGCGTACTCATTTTCACAAAGTATTTGCATCCCCTCTTGGAAAGAGGGATTCGAAATAATTGTCTCCATATCTTCACTAATTAAATTAATCACCGTAATTTAGCTTACACTTATGAATTTAGGGAGCACTTAAAATGTGAAATAATCATTTCACTACCCGACAAACTCCGAACTTTATTCATTCGTTAGGCCTACATAATAGTTTCATATTGCTGAACTATATACTCCAACATCACTGGCGCATGGTAACAACCAACTGACTGCAGACCATTTCCGGTCACACATTAAATTTCAATGTAATTATTAATCTGAATCCATACTGCTTAGTAATAGGTGTACTTTTCATTTGCCTTTGACCTGACTAAATTTCAAACAAGTCATGTTAAATTAATAATGAAATTTTATGAAAGAAAGGCAGAAGCATGGCAGGTGCAGTCAGGGTTTATTTACAGCAATGTAATTGTACTGTACTATAGCAATCATGTGCGAAATTTACAAAAGATTGATATGTTTGTACTGTATTTTGACAGTTTCCAAATTAATGTTGCAGAGAGGATGATATCAATTACTACTTGGAGGGTAATTAGTGGATGCTGTTCTGGGATTATCAGTATAACATGAAATGGTTTTTTGGCAATTGAAGATGAAGTTTTCAAGTATAGTTGTGGTTGAAAATATTTTAATAGTCTGAAATGTTTGTAAAATATAGGGCCTACAGTTAGTATAACAAGCAAAGAAAATTGAGTTACTGTATGAGAGCGGTTATCGGAGTACAGTACACAGAACTCGTTAATTTACTTTTTATTTTAAAATAATTTCTATAAAGTTGCCACAGAAACATTTCAAAGTCCAAACACTTAAATAATCTCCTGGTCAGATATTTAGATTATAAATAAAACAATAAAACACAACATTTCAGTATAAACTTGTGGATTTTGTGAACTAATCACAGTATTGAACAGGACCATGACATTTATATTGTAAGATATCTTATATACTTACCTGTAATATTGAGCAGTCAGTTGTAAGACTTATGTAATTAATATTTGTTTGATGGAGGACTGTTTTAATCATTAATAAACCAAGCACAAAGGATGTTAACTTACAGTGAGCTTATTAATTAAAACAGTCCTACAACAATAATAAGCAAACCACATGAAACTATTTGAATTTATGCTTATGATTTATGAATATAAATATGTTTATTCATGGTTTGGAGATCATAACTTTTCATTACATGAAATTTTAATGTTCAAACTGATAAACATACCATACATAACAAACAGCTTACAAAATAAGATGGTGGCCACCTCACACAAACCTTACAGGCTGAATTTTGACAGCACTTCCTGCACTGGCACATGTTGTTTGTATGCTTAAAAACCGATTGTTGTCAGCTTAATAGTATTTTAAAAAAGGATGGGTGTACAGCACCACATGGTTGCAGGAGTGTTTGTGCTTGGCACCAGAGGTCCTTGTATTTGTATTCGAGGGCTGTTCTCCTCTAAGAGATATTAATCAATCAGTTATCGAGCCAAGTAATGGTAATGGTTGGAGACTTACAGTACATGGATACAGTATGTCTTGGAATTTTTATTCAACATTGAGCTACAGAATTCTGAAATTGTAGCTACAGTAATAATTCTGAGTACAGAATTACTTAACCTGATTCTGCTTGAATTGCCATAAGTTCAGTCTGTACTTGTAAGAACAACACTGTACAATTCTCGCTTGTTATAATCCCTGTTGTATTTCAAGTATTCTTTGTGGAGTTTCTCTCATTCGGAAGTGGCCGCACTCTGGATGTTTTCATTTCATTATTATCTTCTCATCTGCATCATTTAATCAGTTTGGCTGGCTTTGGTGTATTTTCTTGGCATGAGTGCCCATGGTTTTGAAATTACTTGCAAGTTGTACTGTATATTCATTCCTCTTTAAATTGAACACTTTTCAGTCTCACTCTCAGTTCAAGGTTAAATGACATACTGTATCTTGTCATAATTCTTTATGGTGGTATTATTTACTTCCAATGCACTGAACTACTGTCTGCACAGGTTCCATCCTAATTGAGTTTATATTTTTTTATTTTTTAAATTGTATCTACCAGCATTTCTAAAACTAATGCTGGACATTTTGTTGTCCTCAAATAAAATAATTAAAAAAATAATGTTTTTTTTAGCAACATATAGTAGTGCTGCTTATTGCAAAGAACATCTACTATTTACTTTAGATCAGACACAACCAAGAAAAAGGTAACTAGTGATTATCTTTATTAGGTATTAATAATTATACTTTTCCTCTTTCATTCTCTAGGCTGAATTGGAGAGAGATAACCTTGCACGACGACTTCAGCTCCTAGACACAGAGTTTGAGAAGGCAAACGAAAGAGTAACTTCTCTAACTGGCAAATCGGAAGAACTTGAGCAGAGAGTAGAGGAGAGTGATAGGTAGGTAGTGACGATAGAAGGAAAGATTGGAATGTGGTAGCTAAAGAAATAAGATGGAAGGACTAAAGCAGTGAGGAAAGTCGGGACTAATAATAATAATACAGTAGTTGCAGATATATAGTGCGCATGTTGTTGTGACCTAAGTGCTTATTACATAATCATTACCCTGGTCAGTAGAACGCATACAGGTGGAACATACCGTAATAGCACAGTAGTAATCAGCGCAATGATACTTAAACCTACCAGATAGCCACTTATACTTCTCATGGAGAAAGACTTCATAGGTGAAGTACCGTGCCCAAGTACACACTGCAAAACTCATAGTAACCTCAAGGTTGAGTGCTAGAAAATCAACCACTGCTTTAAGCACTCCCTCAAAAAGTCTATGTGGTAACTAATGTAATGGCATGTTAGGGTAACTACTGTTACTTGTGGTAGAGGATGACGATGTGTATGAATCTACAGCAGGAGAAGAATATATGGCAGAGGGTGAAGACTCTGGTTCAAGACTATCGATATCTGTTGTTTGTTTGTTGTTGGCAGCAGATGGTATCTGCAGTTAAGTACTATATTAAACACTGTTGCTGAACATGATTGTTATTCATTCTTAAAAGAATTAGTCTGGTATTTGACCTTGGGTGCTCAAGTGTGTTAATAAATCACACTATAGACCTACTACACTGTTAGTGACTAATAGAAATATTATATTGTTTGAAGGTTTGCATGGCAAAGCATAATATATTAAATGCTGGCGGTACACCACGTAGATAATTCTGGAAAAATACTGTTCTTTGTTGAGAATGTCTCGACGTTTCGATTGAATTGCTTCCATCATCGTCTTGGGAATAATATATGCAGAGAATCAAACAGGGAAATACTTATATATTGGGATAGTGAGAAATATTAAATTTTATACTGTAGTTATTAAGTGATGAGTTTTTTTAAAGTTAAGATTAAACTTGTACCTCTTTGTTAATTTATGCATCCAATGACCAGATACAGTACAGTATAGTCTATTTCTTATGTGGATAATTAATATTACTGTACATAGCAAACTCCTTGTACAGAGAACCTGGCTAAATATATGTCATTTGGCAAATGGCGTTCACTTAAAACCAGAGACCTGGGCAGAGTTTTTCTTTTTTTTTTTTTTGTTATGGCTAGGCCTCTGTAGTTTTCTCAGTTGTAGAATCTGTTATCGAAAACACTGTACAGTCAGTAGGCTTCCTAACTTCACACTGTTTTGTCCCTGGGATCCATTGTTCACCTTGTTCATGGGATTCTACTGTATTATCCTTTAAAAAAATCAATGGTGCCAATACATTATATACTGCCCATTGATTATATTGGGATTTTAACAGAGGGAGAAGTGAGTATTTGTATATATGAACCACTGTACTATACACTGGTATAAACTTCAGTCCACCTTTGAGTATGACCTTCAACATTCTCATGCAAAATGTTCCTAACTTTAAATAGTTAACTGTACTAACAAGTATAATGTGAGCGGAAACGTTTGCTATTCCAAGTGTATTATATACTTGTATCTTTTTTCTCTTGGTGTACTGGATGTTTTCTCGATACTTCACCAAATTTTATCGAGTAAAATAATACAAAACATTATTACTAAATAATATTATTAAATAGTATATGGTCTTGATTGAGAACCCAGCAAAAAAATATGCTTTGTAACTTCTTAGTTCATAACACTATTACTTAATGGGGTGTTTTTTTTTCTCATTTTCAAGAAAATATACTTTCCTGTGACCATTTTTCCTGTCCCTAAAAAGTACATATTAAAATAGTTATTGTTGTCAATTTTAGAGGTCATCATTTTTTCTCAATTTCCATAAAAAGTACATACCTGTACAGTATACTGGCATATACCCATAGCATACAGTAAGGTAGTTTACAGCAATTTCAACTTACAGTTTCGCAAGTTTACTGTCTGTTGGATATAAATTAAGTATGAGATAACGATGATAATTATTTCTAATTGGTTGCTATACAAACAAGGATTATCTGCATTCGTTTGTCTAGTCATTGTATTATTATTAGGTGATACTTTTTTTGTCTATGGCCCCTCGGGGGCTTGACACTATGTTATCGTCTAGCAGTTAACCCAGTAAGATTTAGTAAATCCGGTATGCAGGAATGATGGAATGAGTCCAGAGTTAAAAGATAAAAATGAATATAAGACCTGTCCTAGAAAGTTCACTAAAAAGTCACTTCAGTAACACCACACATTTAACCGAATCCCCATGTGGATACCGTATTAGTAAACATAATACAATACAGTAAGGCAGTATAGGGCATAGACACATGCTCCTGCTGGGAGCCTATTTTTGAGTTACGCAGGGATTAACAGGGATGGGGTTAAGGCAAAAAAAGGGATTAAATAATGGTGATGAATGAGTATTTTACCACACTGTATTTGGAAGGAGAATCACTTTCACTACAGGAACTGTCTCTTATCCACATCT